TGTTCAATGAAACGGAATTGTTGAAAGCTGATCGAAAATTGACTCAATACTCTTCGCCAACATTCACTGTTAATCAAACACGAAGTTTTTCACTCAGCGAAGATTCAATTGAAGTCTCAATCGGTGTTGTTCCAAACTAATTTCTCATTTGAAGTTTTAAACTGATTCACAAAGATTTTGGTCATCTGCTCAATTGACCGATTCAATTAATTCAAGTATCCATCCACTCAAAACACGATGTTTGTCGTTGAAACACGTCGTAATAGTTCTCCACAAATTGACGCTCTCACGAATTCCCATAGTGGTGCTAGTGCATCTGAAATGGATACTGCTTTCCGCTTATCATTCAATGCTACAAACCATACTCATAATGATAGCACTGAATGTATTAACGCATCAAATCATTGCTCACTGAAAAGCAATTCATCTCCAATCGCCGATGCAAGTCCATTGGATCGTCATTCTTTACTACTTCGAGCCGTAACCTCAAGACGATCCCAAAGTACTCGTCCTGCTGCAAGCAGCACCACAAATATGACCAATTACGTCGCTCGATCTCCGAGCTCCTTTACTGCCGGCGGTGTTTCTGCCAATACTATCACGTTCACCCCTCTCACTACCACCAATATTAGTTCAGTTATAAAACCGTTCAGCAGTATTGATAATCTCATAAAAAGTGTCCAGTCGGTGACACCAAATATCACAACTAATTTCTTTCCATCCGAAAATGGTGATATTCTACCAAGGGGGAATCCAGATCGTCTAGCCACGGCTCCCACCTCAGCAGCGAAATCCTCAGTGACAATTGCTGCCGAAAAATCGACTGCAACATCAAAGATGCAAATAGACAGTGGTCGTATGAGCGATCAACTAAAAAATGGCTGCTCATCATTGGTATCGCAATCATCAAAGACAAACAGCTCACAATCGCCCTCATTAAACAGCGATTGTTTTGACGATGATTCGTCAAGAGGCGGTCTCAGTGCACGTCATCATTGTAGCGCCGCAGTCAAGAGTAACCAAGCGATCGTGTGTTGTTCTGATCGAAACACCGATACCATCGTCACTATAAAAACGACACGACGAGCATCCGAGCAACTCAATAATCAACATTATCGTCTCTCGTCGCTGGCCTCGCACAACTCAAATTCACCAACGCTATCGCAAAGTTATTTTGGTGACACTCTCAGCGCTGATCAAGATAAACACGCTCGTACAGAAACTAGTATTCAGAGTAGTTGTCCACCTGATTGTGTTTCACCAGTTGTCTGTAAACGTCTTCTTTCACTTTCAGAGGATATGAATTTGCTGGTGCGAAATATCACAAAAGAAGCAAAAACGTTGGTTCATGCTGAAACGTAAGTGTTTGTTTCTTTGCGTTGTTTTTCTCTCAAATTTCCTGCTGAATTTCAGTTTGCATTGAATTTTTTTGATCGAAATGAATTCACTTAGTATTGATTTTATTGATGATCACCATATCGCGCTAGGTCAACTAGGTCGTACCGTCTTTTTCAATTCATTGGCTGTGTGCAGAGGATTTCATGAATTTCGAATGCCTACGTTCGGATTCCTACATTTTGTGTTTGTCGATGACACCGATCAGAAAACGATTGATTACTGTGAGATTGTGCGTATAAGTGCTCATGGCTCAGGCAGATATCAGTGCCGTCACGGAATCCGATTCCAGAAGATCAGTATGATTAAATGGAGAGCGAACATTTTGACGGTCACATGAGCTCGATTGTCTGCATTTAAACAAATCACGCATCGTTTTGAACATGAATGAGCCTGCTGAGTGAGCGAATCAGAATATTGAAGAATATGATTTGTTTTCTTTGAATTGTAACTTTCATCAAATCATGTGAGAATATTGTACAGTAAGGAAGTAAAGTGGTCATATAGCGGTACCTTGTGCTATTTTTGGGTTAATTTTTTTAAATCAAGGAATGTTTAGGCACGTCTCGAAATGTTACTTCTTCTATAATAATCGAGTGAAATCATTTTTTCTTTTTGGGAGCATTCTTAAAATTTCGATTAACGATCAATGATCATAGGTTACTGATTGAAATCGCTCGCTATAATTGATTGTTGTAGTCGTTGTAGTCAGCTGGCTGAGTTTTTTATTTCGCTTCTTGAGTGATGTCGTGTTTGAAATTTTTTGAGTTGATCTCTTAAAGACTGAATGCGAATAAACTAGCAATTTATATTGTCAGTAAAGAATGGAATGAGAACATGATGTCATGAAATAGGCCTTTGAAAATGTTTTTTTGATGGCACTGACAGTAAATAATGTTACAATTTGCTCTAGCTTCAATCCGAATTCCGCTGCTTTCACAATTCTTCAAATACTTTTTCTTTTGAGAAAAAAAAAAGTAATTCAAGAATGCATCACGCGAACTGAATAGCTCTAATTGACGGTATTCGCTGTCCATTGTATCCATCGAAAGTTTCAGACGAACGTTGAAAAAAAATTGGATTTTCCAACACGAAACTTACTCAACAACGGATTTGTATTCTTTGATCGTTTTCAGCTGAACTGAAGAAATTTGATTATATTCTCAGTCACGTTTTCTGCCTGAATGCAATTTTCTCATCTGCCAAACAAACAATTATTCCATTCGTCAAACAATCTCAGATCACCATGAATGTTACGAAAAAAGTTCTCGTTGAATATGCGTCCACTTTTGAATAATTTATTGCCTCTCTCCTGTGAGCAATTGCTGAATTTTGAAACTGTTTTTGGCGATTTACAACGTTCACATTTAAAAATTTCTCTGCTTTTTTGGTAGCAAAAGTAAACTTTCCAGCTGCAAATCATGCCTGACTCACTCGTTAGAAGAACGTTGAACTGCAGTAAATCGTACATACACCCACAAAATATCCCACGCCTACAAAAATATTTTTAATCACTTGAATAACTGTGTATGATGAATCAAGTTTGGGCACTGGGTGATAAAGGATGTCTGAATACGAAAAGGCGAGTAATTGATGGAAGTGGATAGAATTGATGACATTTCACATGTGTAACTGTCAATCTGCCGTGAAATCTCATTAGTTATTTTGATGTCATATTAGAGAGAATATAATCAAGCAATGGAATGTGTACGCTTAGCATTTATTCAAAAATAATCTGTGTGCGTAAAGTATCGATATCGAACGCTCGTGAATATGACTTCGGAAAACAGTTCAATGTTCAATTCATTCGAAATTATCATGTCATGTTTTTCTGTTTCTGCTTTCGATGTAATTTTTATACTTTTTGAAGGGATTTGCCATTTGTTCGGTATGGGAGGTGGGAATGAGTTAACATTTGTGTTTTTTGGTGCTTCCGTTCAGTGAGTGCTAACTCAGTCAGTGTTTAGTCATTTCAATTTCGATTTTCAAACAGAAAAAGTCTTGAATCTATTCACATCTATGAAAACATATCATATTCGAATAAGCAAACACATTAAGTACTGTCAGATGTCGTATTAAAAGGATGTTCTCTGAATTGTTGTTATTCAAAAAACTCACTGAAGGTCAAAACAAATTCGATTACTTTGGTAAATTCGATCATACGTTCCAATTGAATCTGTTGTGATGTGGTGATATAATATAAACAGCCTTAGTCATTGAGCATTTGACAAATTGGAAATTTCGTTTTCAAAAAAAAAATTTGATTTGTACTTTGTCGGTACTCAAAAATGAATTGTATTTTCATAAACAATTGCAGATGTTCCCTATTTTTGCTGGACAAAGAGCATTCGGAGTTAGTGGCCGAAGTATTCGAAAAGAATGGTACTAGTGATGAGTACTTGACTGAAATTCGAATGCCCCTCTCGAAGGGCATCGTCGGCCATGTGGCCTCAACTGGTCAAATGATGAACGTTGATGATGTTTATAAGTTGGTGCTTCTTCCATTTCATTTTCGAACTTTTCCTTTTCATCATCGAACATTTCAGATTGCAATTGATTATTTTCTTCCAATTTCTAGGAATTTTCTCTTGAATTTCCATTTTCCGATGATCATACAAAAATCCATGAACTGTTCTTTGGTTCTGTTCATTCTTGAAATCACTTTTTTCGTCTTAAAAATGTGTTTCCATTTCGTTGAATTGAACTCGTCAATAATTTTTTTTGTTTATTGATCGTTTGTGTCAAATGACAATGATGATTCGAAAGTTAGCTTATAATTACAAGAGGTATTTAGTTGAGAAGATAATGAACGTTTCGTTTTTTTCAAATTTTTTCTCATTTTCAATGGACTTTAGTCTGTTCCAACTGATAACTTCTCAAATAGTAACGATCAGCATATTTCTTTAATTGATATGCGCGTGCTTTGATAGTATTTCAAACTAAAAAGCACTCAGTGTTGCGCTATCATCGTCGAAATATTCATCAACAACATAATGCCCATATAATGATCTTTTTTGACGATTGTATTCTGTTTGGCCTGATTATCGTGTTTGGTATTACCACAAAAGCGTTTGTGAACACAATCACACGGCAATTCTTCTATTGTTTTTCATCAAGACCTTGTTATCAGAAGGAAACTATTTACGATACGCAAACACTGATAAAATTCTTATCAAATGCGGACTGATGGTCATAACATTTTTTGTAGCAATTAAACGATTTGTATGCACGTAATGAAACAAACAATTGTTTTTAACTTTTGTTGTGGTTTGTTAAAAACAATTGTTTGATTCATTACAAATCGTTTATTTGCGGGGAGTTGATAGAGCAGCGGTACCTTCCCGTGATCGCGCCTGTTTCCAACTGAATCCGCATGCTTGAAGATCAACTCAACAGCCGTCCGAATCGTCACCCGTATGGCTCATCTGGCCACATTGCAACATGTGGTAGCACACACCATCAATTGGTTCATCCAACCAGGATGGAAAGAGATGATAAAACCCAATAGCTCTCATTAGGGCTAACTCAGTTAATCCAACAGCCCTCGTTAGGGTTATATACGGAAGAAGGGAAGAAAGACAAATTGCATTACAATTTGGAACAAATAAATCAGACTCAAACTCAAATGAATGCCAACGATGCACTCAGCTGTTAAGCAGGAAGAACCATACTAATATGGTAACTCTGAACTGTCGTACTCTACGCAGTTAACTAAGTCAATACCTGCTTAGTAAAACGCTCAATATGCTAAACGCCTCCACTACTTGTCTTCAAGAAACTAGGGTAATTAATGAACCGCGATACGAGTTGCCAGCGCCAGCGAAAGCCGGAGAACAATCTACGAAAAGTTATCATGCATTCTCGGGGAATGTGGATACGGATGGCGCAGGTGGCTGTGGAGTGGCGGTGAGAAGCGATTCTGTAAACTCTTTGACAGAATTCGGCTCAGTGGGTAAGCGATTGGCATGGGTAAAAATCAAGAATTATGGAATTAAGACAGTATGGACAATCAGCGCGCACGGGCCAACAGAGGGAGCTACGGACCACGAAAAGGACTCATTCTATGAGGTTCTCAACAAAGTCATAGACAAAGTAAAATCAAATCATTTGTTAATAGTGGGGATTGGTGGTAATGCCCAATTTGGAGAAGGAGAATCATCAGAGGCCCTTGGAAAGTGGTATGTTCCGTCCCGAGAAACTGCCGAAAACGGGAGAAGACTGCTTGACACCTGCAAAAGAAGAGGACTGAT